CCAGTTGAAGTGCGCGCGCATGCCTCGATGTTGGGGATTTATGCGGAGGCAGCTATGGCTTAGTTGTGTGGCGGGGCTCCTTTTTCCACATCGTCCGTCGCGGGGTGCGTCTCATGTTCAGCACACCGCAAGAGGCGGCGGCGGCCGGTTCCTCCTTCGCCTCCGACGCCGCAACGTGGGCCCGCGGCAGCGCAGCGGCGTCCGGGGACGAGGGCGCAGGCTTCTCTGCGTGCACCTCCAGCTGCGCGTCGTTAAATGTGACGAACTTTCGCCGCGGACGCATCGAGAGAAATGAAGTTTCCCCTTCGCCTGTGAGTTCGGCACCGACGGCTGCGTCGTTGGCGGGGAACGGCGACGGCGCCGCGACCGGCACCGACTCACGGCGGAAGCGCACCGTGAAGGGATGGCCCGTGTCATCGCCGTTTGCGTCCGCCGTGGAAAAGGTGCACCGCGCTTCTGCGCCGCGCCGCCGCTGCCGCTCCGTTGCCACATTTATTTTTTGCTTCAGGCTCGCCATGGCGCCGCGCAGCACCGCTGGGGGCAGAAGCTCCTGCGGCGGCTCCTTCTTCTCTGCCGCCGCTGCCGCCGCCGCCGAGTGCAGCGGCACTTCACACGCGAAGAGCGCCCCCACCACCTCCGCCACCTCCTGCTTCGTGCGGTCGAGGAGCTCCGCCGCCCCTGCGTGGCGCAGCCTCTGCTCCTCCACGCGCAGCCGTTGCCCGTTCACCTCCTCGCACGCCTTCGCCTGCTGCTCCGAGAGGCCGCGGACCTCTTCCCGCACCCGTTCCGTCTCGCTTTCATAGTTGGTGATACGCAGGCGCCGCGCCTTCACCTCCTCCTCGTCCGCGTTTGCCTGCGCCTGCACGGCGCACAGCAGGTTGTAGATGTTCTCCGCGGAGTCGCAGGACGGAGCCGGGGAGGAGCCCCGCATCGCGCCACACGCGGTGCTGCTTCCTTCCTTCCTGCCGGCAGCTCACGGCGGAAAGGCAGCCGCAGCCGCAGCCGCAAGCAGCCACAGAAGCAGAAAAAAAAAGTATGTGGGGGACGCCCCCCCCCCCCAAGGGAGCAAAACGACTCGCAGGTGCATCCCAGTAGCAAAACACAGGCGGGCGACGCGCCAGAGTAGGGCGCTGAAACAACGATAGACACTGACTATGCAGAACAGGAAGCAAAATGAAACAGAATGCGATATGAAGAAGCATGCGAGCTACTTGGACACGAAGGTGAGGGAGTCGCACCGCTTATGGAGAACGGCGGCCCCGTGCTCGTCGTACTCCGCCCTCGTGACCCACTCCGAGGCGAAGGAGGTCAAGCTGGCGAGAATTGCGGCGCCGATCCACACACTAAACTTTCGCTCATTCGCCGCCACCACACGGATGTCCTCCGCCACACGCTTGTTTGCCAGTTCTGCCAGCTCTGACTGCAGGCGCTGCCGCATCCCCTTAAACATCGTGTTGCCGCCGGACAAAACGACACTGCCAAGCAGCCGGCGGCGCAGATCGATGGGGCAGGAGTGGACACAATTCATGACGGCGCATGGAATGCCATCATACGGCTTCTCTGCCAGTGTCGGGTTGAAGAGAATCTCAGGGCAGCAGAACCGCGCTCGGCCAACGTGAATCAGCTCACCATCTGGCAGTGTGAAGGGTTCGCCTTTGCTCTCGCCCTCTTCTTCCGCCGCCCGCAGCTCCTCGTCAAAGGAGAAGGATATGTAGCAGAGACGCTCCTTCACTCGCCGTGCCACCTCGCGGTCGGCGGAGGTCGTGAAGGGGCGGCCAAGCTCGTCGCTGAGCAGCTCCATCATCCACTCCGTCAGGTCACGGCCAGCGAGTTCCAGCCGGCGCACCGATTGCGGCATCGTCTGTCCTTCAAATACGGGCACGAGATGCGTTACGCCGTCGCCGCTGTCCAGGACGAGTCCGTCGGTGCGGCCCGCGGAGTAGAGCGTGAGCACCGCCTGAATTTGCACATGAAGCGCCGGCACGCCAAAGGACTCGAAGAGCACCTCCGCCATCTTTTCCCGGTTGCCAATTGGGTTCAGCGGCGCCTCCGTCAGCAGCACTGCCTGCCGCTCCGGCGGCACAAGCAGCTGCTCATACGCGTGCCACCAGACGCGCTGCATCTGATCCCAGTCGGAGACGATGCCGTGTTCCATTGGGTAAAAGTAACGCAGCCCCTTCTCCTGCAAGGCCTCGTCTCCCACGTACACGCGCTGTTTCTCGCTCCTGCCCCTCGTGGGGACTCCAATGAGGCTCGGGAAGACGCAGCGCGGGATCTCCTCCCCAGCAAAGCCGCACTTCATGTTGCCGCTCCCATTGTCAAGCACCACCGCCGGCTCCTCATCCCAGACTGCTGCCTCCATTAACTGGTACGCCTCAGGTGCGGCAATCTGCGCTTGTGCGCGCCTGTGCGGTTTGATGCGGCACAAGGCAGAGATACACCAAAGAGAAGAGACAAAAGCAAAGTCCAATAACTTAAAACAAAATAATAATAATAATAATAATAGCGTGTGTGTGTGTGTGTGTGTGTGTTCGCTCCATTAACGGCAAGAACGTCGCCGCACTCAATTTCACCGTCTATGGACGACGCCACCACATCGCCCTCCCACACGGTGCCACCACTCGTCTATGCAGTTGAGCCACGCCAAACGTCCTCAAGGACGCAGCGTGCTGCCTCGTGGCATGAGAGAAAAGCTTCGTTGCTCGGCTTTGCTCGCCGCTGCCGCAGCAGCGTCGCCACCAAATCCTCCTCGCATCCGGTCAAATCCCCTTCCATCAGCAGCATCTCCTGCAGCACCGCCTCGCACGCAAAGCCCTTTACCTTGTGGGTCGCCATAGTGTAGAGTGCCGTCATCTGCGGCGTCGCCTGGGCGTCGTCCGGCGGTGGGGCTTCCTCAGCCCCATCCTCCTCAAACAGCAACGAGTACGGGAAGGTCAGCATATGGGACGCGAACACGGGTGCGTCGTCTCCGGCGCGAGCCTCCAGCCGAGGACTTCGGTGAAACAACCCACCCCCTCCCTCTCGCACTTCAAACAAAACCGGCGCACGCGGCCCCGCCCCAATAGACGAAAAGCCCTGCAAAAACTTCGTTGGATCCGCCTCATGGGCGCAGTGGCTGTGGGTGCTGCTGTCGTTGTCATCAGTGCAGCAGCTCCCGAGGTTTAATGTGCCGCGCCAGCAATGGTGAAACCAGCCGACGCCGTAGCGTCCCGTCTCCCGCGTATTATCAGTGCCGCTGGAGATAATCGAAAAGAGGGCGTAATGTCCCAAGTCACGGCCCTTACTGCAGGCGCTTGCCTCTGCCTTGACGACGTGGCTGGAGGCAACACACCACGCCACATCTAGAGGGAGGTCAACGGTGTCTGTGTGCCACACGAACGGCGTGGAGGCCGCCGCCTTCGTCTCATGTCGTCCAAAGAGCGGAAAGCAGCTGCAGGAGCCCTGCAGCCTCGGTGGCAAACCCGCGCTGCCGGGCGTGCCATTTTTCCCCAGAAGGGCCGTTTTGGGCGTCTCCTCCTCCAGTCGGTTCATTTCGTACAGTAGACGGTGAAACCACGGCGTGGGGTAAATCGAGGCCGTGCAGAGTAGCAGGTGCGGGCCAAACTCTCGCGTCACCTCCTTCCACGTGCCCTCCGCGCCGCCACCGACTGCCCCCGCGGCCAGCGTGAGTGCGGCCCGCGGCGTCCTGAGGTGCTCGTTGACAAACTGCAGAAGCCGCGCGGTATCCCACAATATTCCCTCGCCCGCCGTGCGGAAGGCAAAGACGCAGCACACGGCGTTGCCGACGCCGAGGAAGAGGAGGTGCAGCACCACCTCGTCCTTCCCGCACTTCAGCAAAAGCTCACATACGTGCATCAGCGGAGCCGGGGCGGATGGGCGCGCCTCGGTGGGCCAACGACACAGCTGGTCAACCGCCACCGCGGCCATCAAGAGTCTATCGCAATGGTCCGTTAGTTGAAAAAACAACGGCGAGGCGCAGAGGAGGCCGCCCATTGAAAACACTGCAACAAATGGGAGTTGATCAAACTTCCCTCGCCAGAGCGAGTGATGCTGCGCGGCACTCTCCTTCACCGCAAAGGCCGCCACAAGTGTGCGGTCAATGACGTCCACAAGACACTTGCAAGCACGCGCGGCGGCGGTTTCAAGCGATTGAAGGTCCCTGCGAATGTGCTGGGGGGTGCCGGCGACGCTGGCGACGCACCCGTGCGACTTCACGCCCGACACCCGACAGTAGAGGAGACTGACAGGAACAGCGTCCTGCGCCACAAAGAAAAGCAGCGCCCTGCGCCGGGCAAATAGCGAGGGGTGCGACGCCGCACGCCGCGTCCTCTGGGAAGGCGCCTCGTCTGAGCCACGCCAATCACTCACGCGTCGCTCTTCCCAGAGCGACTCGTGCGCCGCTGGCAGGCCATCGTACTCCACCACCTCATCGTCCGCGGTGAGGGCAGAATGCGCGGATGTGCAGAGCGCGTCAAAAATAAGGCGTGTGCCACTGTAGTTTGTGCGCCGAACGGCCTCCAGGGCAGAATCGAGTACAACCGTCAACGCCTCACGCGAGGCGGCCGAGCCACCCACGGCGATGGTCACCTCGCCCAGCTTCCCGCCCACCTGCTGGCGCTGCAGCAGCACAAGCACCTCCTCCTCGAGGCGAGGACCGCCGTCACCGTCGGCGCCCTTTGCCGCCGGCGCGGTGCAGCTGCGGAAGCAGTGAAAGGAGCGTGCGTGGACAGGGTAGTCAAACAACTTGTCGATTCCCTCCATGCGAGGCGGGGGGCTAAACGACGGCGCCATGACCCTCAGACCGTTCGCCGCCTCCAGCCTAATCCACGGCATCCTCCTCCCGCTCCCTTCTTCTTAGAGAGGCCAAAAAGAGCCGGTGCAACGTAAAAAAAAAAAAACGGGCGAGGTCAAAAGAAGGTCTCATCCTCAATGCATGCAGAAAATGTATTTGTTTACATCGGCCCAGGGCTCAGGGGCGTTTGCTGTTTTATTTCCAGCGGCCTCCTGGAGCAAGCGGGGCAAGGGCCTTGGTGTTGCCCGGACAGAAAGTTACAAACAAGCCTGCGACCGTTGCGCGCCCAGAGCGTGATACATAGAAAAACCCATGTAGATACACAGGCGGCAGTAAGACAGATCATAAAAAAAGAAGTACAGCAAAAACTCTATTCCCCCCATTTCTCCAGACACTTTGCCAGCTCACGCACACACACACACACACAGAGAAAGAGGGAAGAAAATTGAGGAAGTGAACGTCGGAGTGCTTTGAGTTACCGCCGCAATCCTGCCATTGGCCAGCCAAGCAGAATAAAAATAAATTGACCAGGCAAAAGTGTGCCGTTTTTTTTTTCTTCTTCTCTTATCCTCTCATTCACCGCCTTCCACTTCTCTTTTGCTTCTTTACGCTCCTCTCGTCATTGCGGCAGCGCGTGTGTGCCTCAGCCCGTGGGCCGGCGTCTCCTGCCAACTCAGAATCAGTAAACATACGGAATCAGACGATAACGAACGGCAGTGCAGAATTTTTTCCAGTCCGCGGCACCGTACTTTTCAGCCATTTGGCGCTCGTCCCGCAGTTGACGGTGAATGAGCAGAACGGCGAAGTACACCGGCTGGAAGTACGGCAAGAGTGCCGCCGTGCCCGTCAGCGCAGACCAGGAGAACGTCATCAGCCAGTCCCCGACGTAGTTGGGGTGACGACAGAAGCCCCAATAGCCAGAGATGATGAGCGACTTGCCGCGTGAGGTTCGCATCACCTTTAGATTTGCCACCGCCTTGTCACGCGGGTTCTGACGGAACTTGCTCTTCTGCGAGTTGGCACCGCGGAAGATGACGTAGCCGGCCACAGCGAGCAGGCAGACGCAGGCCACATATGCGTTGCTCGGTCTCACAGGATGATACGCCAAGAACTTGGTTTTGAGCGTGTACGTGAACGGCACCCACGTGAGGTCGCCAAAGCAGAGCATGAAGCCAAACCCGTCGTGCACAATGTCCATCATCGTCAGGTTGCCCGCCTCGAGCAAAAGCCCATCAAAGACGTAAAACGACTCCAGCAGGGCGATGATGACGATGCTGGGGGTGCAGGTGCCGGCCTCCACCGCCTTGGCGACAAAGGCCCAATTCAACACACTCCACCCAATAAGGCCTGGGCGCAGTTCGCACATCAATTTCCAGTCAAGCGACCCGGTTCGGGGGTTTAGTTCGCGCCCCATCCAAAAATCGTACACACGGTTCCCCGTGTTGCCTCCCTCAGAAAGCAGCACCGTCGGTGCCCGGAAGGATGCGACGTAGAGCACAACACTCATAGCCATGGAGATTATAATTGAGGCGATCATGAGCGGCACAAACATCTCCGCCAGGCCCGCCAGGCGAACAATGCCCTGGTAGTGAAGAGCGCCTAGAGCAAGATGAGTCAGAAGGAACACATGCACGGCATTCATGTTGTACACGAGGGTTTCCCCGTTACGCAGCCTCGTCCCCTTCACCCGCGCTCCAAACGGAGCCACGTAGAGCAGTGCATGTAGCAGCAGCCACGCCGCCTCAATCCCAAGTGCAAGGGGAAGTTGAGAAAGAGACGCCCTGAAGGTATCCATGAGTTCCGTATGCAGTGTGTAAACGCCGTCCACCGTGCACTGCTTTTCCCCGCACAGTGTGTTTAGGCCGAGCACAAGGGCCGGGAGGAACACTATCATGGATAGCGCGCCCACGGGGCCGCCCCACTCGTACCCCACCGTTGGCAGGTTGAGTGGAGCGAGCCGCTTCTGCGCTGCGCGCTCGCCAGCAGTGATCGATGCGGCGCGGCGCGGTGTCTTGGAGCGCGACCTGGAGGCCGCTCTAGTGCTCCGCGGCATCTTTGCTTCTCCTCCACCTCTCTGTGCGTTCGTCTATGGGCTTCCTCGCGGCTGCAGCGTTCCCGCACCGCCCAGGCCCGAGGAGCGGGAAAAAAAGAAACAAAAAAAAACAAAGAAGTGAACGAGACAACGCCATCCGTTGCAAAGGAGAGACAGAAAACGAAGCCGAAAAAAAAAGGAAAAGGAAAAGTAAGAGGAGGGGGAGGGGGAGTTTCGGCAGTCGCCTGCCTCTGCTTTCGCGGCAGGCGCACACACATGCGGGGGGAAACACACCACCGCGAAACGACGGCGTCGACTCCTCCTCTTTTACTCCCGCAGGCCCCTTACTCGCCTCACTGCACAGCGACGCCTGCGTCCGACACCACCACCGCAAGCCCGACAGCAACGAGAAGGGCGCCCACCGCCCACGTCGCAGTTACCGCTTCGCGGAAGACGACGAAGCCAAGCAGGGCACTCACCGCGAAGTTCATTCCGGTGTTCACTATTTGGCAGACCGGTGTGGGGCCGCACGACAGCGCCTTAAGGTACCAGCGCCACATCTGCGCCGTGAAAAAGACATTTGCAGCTAATAACAGTCCCCGAATGCCAAGCAGCGCCGCGCCCACCCACCGCGCGTTCTCGTCGCGTACATTCACCAAGGCAAGCAACGCTGCGGCGACGGCGATTATTGCCCTCCTGCTGCGTTCCGCCACGGCGAGTTTTCCCGCCACGGCGGACAGTGCCCCAAACGACCCTGCCAGAGAGGCGTAGAAGAAGAAAACACGGCTCGTCGCCGGCGGAGGTTGGCGTTTCTCCTGAGACTGCGAAGAGCCGCGGCGTCTCACTGAAGCCGCTCCTCCACCACGCGGTGATGCCGGCCCCTGCTGCCTCATGTGGCTTCTAACACGCATTCCCCCACCCAGTCCAAAAGGCGCCAGCAGAGGATAGAGGAACAAAACCGGAAATAAGTGCAGACACCGCAGAATGCGCGCCTGTACGACGCGTTGTGGGACACATTCCCAGAGAAAAAGTGGGAAGGGCCCGACAAGGGATGGGAAGGGAGGTTGTGTGTTGATTCCGTGCGCCCAAAAGTACCCAAGTAGGGAGTGGATTTCTCCCGCGCCCATGAAGCGACGGAAAAACAAATTCGTGCAGCACAATTTATTATAACCGAGCTCCCTGGGAGCTCACAAGACGGTAGTCTGTAGGGGCTCGCACAACCGCCGGATACCCCGCCGCGTGGAAAGGCGACTGCGGGGGGGGTTAAGTTGGGGAAAACAGAACTGCACTTGCAGCCCTCCAGCGCGTTATATTTGTAAACACAAAATAAGCGGAAAATAAGTGGTGTGGTTAGCCAAAACGCAGCATTATTCCCCTGGCCGCATCTGGTCGCACATTCGTTCCACATGCCTCTACAAAATCAAAGCAAAGGGTATTCTTCTATTGCACTCTCTCCCTAGCTCTCTCTTGCGTTATTGCTAGCTCTCTCCCTTTCTCTCTCTCTCTCTCTCTCTCTCTATCACTCGCTATATGTGCACATCGCATTGCTTTGCCCTTTGCCGCCCCCTCTCCCCAGCAGAAAAAAAAAGCAAAACAAAACAAAAAATACAACTAGAGTAAGGATTGTTATTTTTTTAAGAAAAAAAATGTGATCGGGTCCACCATTGCAGCATGGTCTTTTTTTTTTTTGTCATCAACTTTCTTCGCCCCGTTTTTATTCCCTTCGTCTTTTTTTTTTCCTTTCCCTTCACTAAATACATGTCTTCTCACACCGCAGCCTCACGTGCCTACGCCATTCATTTACGTACGCATGCAAAAATGCACAAGTCCCTTGTTACTTTGTGTTCCGCCCTCCGTTGCCCCGCCCCTCACACGAGCACGCGGGGAATTTTGACGTCCTTCGCACGGACTTCCCCGACCCGCCGCGCATTTTTTTCTGTTTGTTTTTTATTGCCTGGTGCGTGCTGTAGTCTTCCCTGTCCTCCTCACGCAACTCCGCAAAGCACAGGCACACGCGCCCGCACGCACATATCTCCCTGCCGCTGTACGTGCAAAGGCACTGATAAATACGCAACCACGACCCACGCCCCTGCTTCTGCTTTCGTCTTCCCGGATGAGCGGCAGATCGGCAATGACGGAAAGAGCAGGAGCAAAAACAAAAACAAAAAAGATGGGAGAGGGAGGCGACGGAAGGACTGCCCCCTTCGGAACACCGAGTGGGAGTGGGTCCGCGGGGGGCAAAAATAGAAACGGCCGATGAAAGTTGTCGTTCCTGTGCTGCTGGTGTGGAAGAGCAAAGCAACACACAAGTTAAATCTTGGACGATACAATTTCTTAACGTTGTCTGGCCCATGCAATGAGGCCGGTGCAGCGTCTTCAAGCGACCGCGTCACGATGGAAAAATGTAGCGGCCCCCTCCTCCTCCTCCACCTCGAGGGCCCCGAGACGTCGCTTATCGTTTTATTTTCTCCAGTGATAAGAGCAGTGTCCACTGCAGCCCTGGTGCTTCGCCCGGAAGTCTGGGAACGCACGCCGTCGCTCCGCGTCCTCCGCGAACGTCACACGCCGAGCTGCACACCAACGCCGGCGGCAGAGGCCGCACGCCAAAACTGTTTCGCGAAACAGGGGGTTGTGGGACGAGCTTCTGGCCACATATGACCCCTGCGGAGGAGAGCTGGTGGTTTGAGCGAAAGCATCGCATATGAACCCGCCAGCGCCGCCGCCGCCGCCGTCGTCGCGCAACGGCCCCGTCATGCCCGTATTCACCACCGGCAGCGGGGGCCAGACGTGGGACGCACGCTGTTCTCCCACACACCGCAAGGCTGAAGCAAACGAAACGATTACCAGTAGCAGCAAAAATAAAGGCATCCCTCCGTTCGAATGCTAATCGTCAACTCATTCTTTTTTTTTGTTCATTCGTTCTATATTTCCTTCGTTTCTTTTTTTCCGCCTTTTTTCTTTTTCCTCCTTTGCTTTCCTTCATCTCCCCTTTTCCCAGCCAATGATCCCTATATGCACATACAAACCGTTTGGGTTACCCAAGCGCCACGGTGCCGCCCTCGTCGCTGGAGCGCTGCGCCTAGAAGCGGTACACCATGTCTTTTGTGTAGCCCAGCCTGCCGAGGATGCCCTCCACATCCGCCACGTTGTTCAGCACTGTCGCTGCCGGCTGGTACGCCAGACCACCGCTCATAGCCTTTAGCACTGCCTGCGGCGAACCAGCAATGTGAGCCATCATCCCATCGGGGCCGCACACGAGCAGTAGATTTTTCAGCGAGGGCTCCGGCATCGTCTCCCGCACCAGTTCCTCCGTGATGTGTCCAACGAAGCCCGTGTAAGGGGATTCCGGGTCGTGCAGTGCATCTACGACGTAGTGCACCTTGAAGCGATGGGAGTTTTCCCGAGCCAACTTGTCAATCAGGCCCTTGAGCAGAATTTTGTTCTCAGATCTATTGGCGAAGAGCAAGGAGAGTTGCGTTGTGTCGCCGGGGGTGTCCAGTGAGGCATTCAAAAACTGTAGCAGCGGGCATAGGCCAGTACCCCCACCAATCATGCCAACCTTCTCCCACGCATTCTTCCTGTACTTTAGCTTGTACTGCACAATACGGAAGAGGAGGCTGTCGCCGACATCCATTGAGAAGAGATGTTCTGTAAAGCGGCCATTCACCTGTTTCTTGACCAATAAGTCAAAGTAGCCCTTGGCCCCATTATGGGTAATGGGGGTGTAGAAACGCATAGGCCTGTCTACAATGTTGGCGCCCTGTTTAAAGCAACCCTGCAGCGTACTGCATGGTTGCAGGTCAAACTCCATTTCTGGCTTTGGTAGGAGGAAGCGGAAGACGGCGACGTCCTCCGCGAGGTTAATCACCTCACCGAGCACAAACGGCTTAAATTTTGTATCAAACACGCTTTCTTTTCCGCACTGCGCCACGCGGGTAGGCGTGGCGGCGTAGGATTGAAGTGCCGCGCCAAGGAAGGCGGCTGCGCCGAATGCAAGGAACTTCATTGCTGTTGTTTGTCTTTGCAAGGTACAAACTTGGATGGCCCCAAAGCACGCACTGATGCTCTTTTTTTTTCCTTTTTTCGCTCTTTTTCTCTCCACACGCTCGTCCAGCCGGGCGGGAAACCAACGACAGCACGCGGAGGAGGAAACTGGCGTGGAGGAGGCGCAAAGAAGGAGGGCAGTGGCGTGGCGCAGGAGGTGACAGCGTCCACGCAGAGGAGGAACAGACGTGGGAGGGAGTCTGAAGGGGAGCGAATTACAAAAATAACGGCAGCAGCGGCCGCAGAAAAAAGAGGTGGGGGCCGTGCGGATTCGTTCAATAACAAGTGCCTTAAAGTATCCCCGTCCTTGTTGTCGCACCTCTGCTCCTACCCTCTTGCCTTTCTTCTCTTCTCTTCTCGTCCTTTCCTGCCCTCTCTTCCACTCCCTCTTAATGTATACGTGTGCATATGTACGCATTTTTCTCCCTTCCTTGAATCCTCAGAGTTCTGTGCACGCGCTTCCTTCACTGGCGCGCCGCGTTTGGCCTGCAAGCCCCGGCCAGTTCGTCGTCCTCATTCCTTTCCCCAGCACACACTCTCCTTTCGATTCCCTCGCCCCCACCGGCAGCAGAGGCCCCGAGTTCACTGACCGCACCGAGGCCTCCAACCCAAACTCACGTTGCCCAGTGCGGCCCCCAACGACCCACATCGCTTCCATGAGCGCCAGCCACCCACACACACACGCAAGTATATATATATATAGGGAGAAAGGGAAAGCGACAGCTACGCATGTTACTCTCCGCCCCTCACTGCGTTGCCACTCCAAGCCTCTCCTCACGCCCTGCAAGAAGACAAATGGGGGGCAAGTTAAGCGGAAGCATAAAAGAGAGAATGCAATCAAAGACGTGTGCCGTCATGCTTCATGTCGGACCGTTATGGCTACAGAGAGGGAGCCTTTCCCAGAAGCAAGTCAATCTCTGACTCTAGCTCTTCCGCCTTCAAGGAGCACTGTTCTAGCGCGCTCAGTTGGCAATCCACGAGCCCCGCCACTCTCTCCAGGTCATCGCACTCCCGCAGCTGCCGGAGGGAACGATTGTGTTGGCCCACGCTTTGCGACAGCCGCAGCCTAAACGCCTCTACCTCGTCAAACAGGCTAATCACCGACGTGTAGGTCGCCTCACGTTGTTCGTCTAACTTTGTGAAGCTTGGCTGCACCTTGGCGTAAACGGGCTGAACGGAATCCTCCACACGCTGCATCATCGTGGCAATGGCCGCTTGTTTGCTCTTCAGCTCCGCCAACTTTTGCTTCGACGCCTCCGCGGTGCTGAGGGCACTGTCCAAATGGGAAATGTAGGCCAAGATATCATTCCCACGATCAATAATTTGACGGTCACGGAGGAGCATATGCTGCGAGAGCTTCTGAAACTCGCGGTAATCCTTCGCAAACTTCTTATCAAACTGGGCCAAGATGGAGGAAAGCGACTTTCCCTTCAGCTCCTCGGCAGCGGGCTTGCGCGCACACGCGGCAGCCTCCTTCGTCAGAGCAGCAGCCGCATTGCCCACAGTGCCCGCCGCTCGGCTGGGTGCGGCGCATCCGCTCGAGGTACTCTCCCCCTTTACAGTCGATCCACCGAACCCGAATCCGGAGGGGCCAGCGGCAGTAGAGGAAGAATTAGCAGCGGCAGATGCATTCGTGGGGATCCCTGCGGTTTGCGCCGCTGATGACCCAAAACCAGCAAAAGCACCCGCCCCGCCACTGGTAGGAACGCTAGCGGAGGCGCCCCTCGCGCCAAAGCCACCAGCACCGGGCGCCGAAGTGTTCGCTGCAGAGCCAAAGCCACCAGCACCGGGCGCCGAAGTGTTCGCTGCAGAGCCAAAGCCACCAGCACCGGGCGCCGAAGTGTTCGCTGCAGAGCCAAAGCCACCAGCACCGGGCGCCGAAGTGTTCGCTGCAGAGCCAAAGCCACCAGCACCGGGCGCCGAAGTGTTCGCTGCAGAGCCAAAGCCACCAGCACCGGGCGCCGAAGTGTTCGCTGCAGAG